AGTGCTTGGCTGTGAATCCTCCAATAACTGATACCAGACTTAGATTTCCTTCCTAAGACTCTAGTTTTAAGACTCAACAGAAACTGTCATGGGATTTGACAGGAAATGATCCCTTGTTTTGCAAAAGGTATAACTCCTAATTCATTTTCAGTACATCCCAAATATTCACCATTTTAGGTCTGCCCTAGTTAAAATCCCTGGGACTTTTCTTTGTCTTAAACAGAGGCAGAATCGGCACCCAAAGCTCTGTTTAGCTATGCTGGCTACATGTACTGTTAATGACCAGCAGATAGATTTGACAGGAAATGATCCCTTGTTTTGCAAAAGGTATAACTCCTAATTCATTTTCAGTACATCCCAAATATTCACCATTTTAGGTCTGCCCTAGTTAAAATCCCTGGGACTTTTCTTTGTCTTAAACAGAGGCAGAATCGGCACCCAAAGCTCTGTTTAGCTATGCTGGCTACATGTACTGTTAATGACCAGCAGATATTAAAGACAATAATCCATAAGGTGTTATCTGTATTTAACACGGCAAAACTTTGGTAAATGTACATGTTACTTCCTAAAGATAAGATTTTGAGGTCATTCTTAACTGATTATACATGTTTGTTAGGTGTATGCTATAGGCACAATTAGTTTTCATAAACCTATAACATAGCTAAGGACAATTCCCTTGCTGGGTAAGAAAATAATCCAAATTGTCTGGGAGAAGCAGAAAGCATGTTTTAATTCAAAATTAAATTATTAGTTTATAAATTAATCATTTAAGAACTTTAGAACATGGAGGTATAAATAAAGCTACCAAACAGAGCAGTGATTAATGTTTCTGTAATGTGGTGCTGTGAAACAGCTTTACTAGAACTTGGTATAAGGGCTGTGCTACTGTAGCTGGAGTTGAAGAGTTATGAGGCTTGACACCCATTAGTGCCTAATGAAGGCACCCAAAGGATTGGTGGTGGCCAAAGAAAATATCAACTGCGAAGAGTTTATCCTCTTTCTCAGGTACTTGCTAGGAAGGAAGATGCTGGTGAGTGGAGGAGATGTACCTTCTCTGATTGTGAGAGGAAGAGGTCCCTTCTTCTGGAAGGGGTGCTTTCGTTTTTTTTCTTTCATCCCACAAAATCTAACTGACTGTGGACAGCTGTTCATTTCCCTGTACTTTTGCAGTATGACGTGAGGAATATTTTGCTTATTCCCTTATGGACTTATGGAAATATTGATATATTAATATGGCAGTTTTAATGTCCCTTTTCCCTACTCTTGACATACATAGACACTGGCTTGCAAAGGGGTGGGAGAAGACGACTTTGCTGCTTTAATTCTACATCAGGAATAAGGCAGCTCAAGTGCCTTGGAATTATGAATTAAAAACTGATTAATAAAATTTCTTTGCTCTGTCATGCCTGGGTCAAATTCCCTGGAACCTGGGGCAAATTCTACACTGCCTGTTTCCACATCTGCCATATATGTTGGACTTTGTATATATAGCACAAAAGCAGGCAGCATAAGATAAATTGTGCTACTTCTGTGCCATCTATCATTCCAGTTTAGTTCTGTATTCCTTAGAGACTCCTTTTAAAATAGGAAGAATCTTAGAAATTAATTTCTCATCTTCTGCTAAATTACAAAAGTCTGAAGAACAAACAGAGTGTGGCATTTTATATTCTCTAGGCAGCACTACTTACCATCCCCAGAAATATCATTTCCTCTTCTCTCATTTTGTCTGTTTTCTTGCGCTGGATATATCCACGCCAAACCTGAATTGTAAACAAAACTCTAATGAGATAAATGGGCCTTGTTACAGCTTCCTTTACTGTGGCAGACACAGGCAAAAACAAATAGAGGAAGGAAAGGCACAATATACAATTGAAACTATTGCTCTTTAACAGGTTGCCATCTGCTATTTTTTTTTAAAAACAAATTCTGAGGTTTGTTATCTCTTCACACTGGTGTATCTAGCTTCTAAACAAAACACTATCAGGTTTCAAAAAGTGTTCAGACTTAAGATTTAGACTGAGCTGCTGTTCTCATCAGGCTGAATTGTCCAAATTATTCGTGTGCAAGTACTTTTTCTGGAATTTAGCAGCGATTTCCCTTTCTCATCTTTTCAAGAAAAAAAAATCTTTCCCTGGAGATCACAGGAAAAGGCACGAATTCCCTGAGATGCACTGGATTCCAAGGGGATGCCAGAAAGAGCAACTGAGGTCATAAAAATCAGAATGGAAAAACAACATGTAGGTTATAAAGTCATCCTGCATTGCCAGTGCAGGACTGTTTCCATTGATCTCATCACATCTAGGGTCCGGTCTCATTTTGTTAAGTGGTTTAAATGATGTATTTTACCTTGCTAGACACCCTGAAAGCTATCATTTCAGAATGCTTCCCATCCTATAGGCTGTATTTCTGTCTACTGCTGTTCTTCTAAACAAAACATTGTCATTCGGTTCTGCTGGAACTGTTGTTAAATCAGAGATTTCACCTTCTGAATGCAAGTGGCAGCATCATCTGGATTTGGACCCATCTGGACCTGAAGTTTAGTTTGTCTTTCTCTCTTCTCTTCCAGGTAAATTTGCTTCATGAATGCTGCTCGATGACGGCCTTGGCGAGCCCGTTCTGCAACCTGGATCACTTTAATGGCTTCTTCAAATGTCATGGCCTTGACACATTTCTTCAACAGCAAAGCCAAAAAGGAATTGACAAAGCAAAGTATTAGTTACATGTTTTGTTAATTGCTTACCTCAGCAAATGAAACAACCAATGAACTTCTTGTAGAAACTTTCTAAGACAAAAAAAATCTCTGTCACAAACAGCAGAGACTCCTGTCTTAGTGCTATCTTGCAATATCTTGGGAGTTTGCTATCTTGAGAGATGTGTTTTTCTGAGGACCTTTAGGAGAAAGTGAACCTGACTTGATGTGTGATGAGGAAAGCCTGATGCTATAGTGGGAAGTAGGAATGGCTCTATATGGCTTATGCATCGTGCTTTCCTCATCCATTTGAGAAAAAAAGACATAAAGAACCACAGGGCTTTGTCCTATTAAAAGGAGAATTTCTTAGGCTATGGAATGCCTTCCTTTTACTTTTCTGAAGGGATGGGTTTCTGGATGTGCTGCTGGGAACCCATCTCTTCTGCTGAATGGAAGGACAGGCTGTTCTGAGCCAGCCCAGGCTGGTCAACTGAGCCCAAACAGAAGAGGCTTGGGGAAAAACATATCAGAACAGTGCAGCTGGAGAAAGGGACTCCCCCTTCCCACTCCTGAGAACTCTTGTTAATCCCTCATGCTCCCCATGAAAAAGCAAAATTATTGTCCTTTCTTGACGTTAATCCCCCTATTGGAGACGGTTCACGTTTGATGTTTCTATATATATTGTGTGGAGCTCACTATATATTACATTTTCAGGCAGGGCTTTCTATAACAGAATTACATAGAAGGACAAATGATCTGCAGAGCGGATTCCTCTGATGAATTCCACTGTTTTTGATGTATGTTAGACTGCTTGTAACAGCACTGCTATGGACACTGAAGAATACAGTGGTCTGTTACACAGCAGTTAGGATTTCCTGAGTGTACATGGCTTGCTACGATGCATGCAGAAGTGTTTCAACCCTCTAGCAATCCCAGCGGTGATTGAATGGGAAGTGCAGCGCAGGGCACTGGACTCATACTGTGTGAGATTATTTAATTCATGTTTATTGAATCCTGTGCCTTTCGTGGCATCCTGGGAGGGTGAGCAAGGGAGGCGTGAACCCTGCCAGTGTTCAAAGTGCAAGAGCCTGGTGCTCCCAGGTGAGCTGGCTGCACACCAGATATTCTCATCTGTAACGGATGCCACGCTAAAAAGGGGTGAGAGCAAAACCGTGGGAAACAAAAAAAGCTTCAAGATGTAATGTGCCGAAACAGAGGATCTCCACAGACCAACATCAGACCACTAGAAGAGCAGAGAATTTACCCAGAGATTTACTGTGGAGGCCAAGAGGACTGCAGCTGCCCATTAAAGTAATCTAGCAGAGACCCTGCGCTCTGTCTCTGCAGCCTGCCTCTGTCTGACTGGTGCTGTTTCTTTCCCTGGGAATCTTCCCTCCGTTGCTTTCTGGGATCAATACGCAGACTACCCCCACCAGCACAATTACTGGTGGAGAATTCAACGGTCAGGGCAGTGCAGCAGTTTGACTAAGTGGTCTGATCAGGACTGTCTCTTATGGCTATAACATCTATGAATCTAAGTTATCCAGACATGTAGGCACAGTTGTTTATTTCGGGAGGTTAGCAATGACTGCTTGTAGGCAACGCACCATTTCAAAAAGGTCAAAAGTATGTCAAATTCAGAACAGTCTTCACTGGAGCGCTCATGTACTTCTCTATAATGACTTTTGCTCTGCCAAAACTCAATTTTCTACTCCTCCTAGCAGCTGCAGCTCTATAGCTGTACAGAAGAGACTGCAGTCATTGTTCAGAGGTTATAAACAACTGAATACTAACAGTTGTGCTGACCTGAACTCTGAGTTTTGCCTGTTCCAGTTAGGAATCCTGGTTCAGTAAAACTTAAGCCCAACTTGATTTCAGTAGGACTAATTATGCAATGAGAGTTAGCTAGACAAATAAAGCACCTACTAAACTTGGCTAAAGTGCTGCCCTTTCTCTGACACTCTCACACACATAAAGCAGAGTCGATTCATTTCAGTCTTAACCAGACTCAAGATGTGACTGGATATTGTTAGACAGGAACATTTAATGTTACTTTCTATTTGCGCCTTATCTGTAAACAGACTTTTACTTCCTAACTGCTATAAAAGTACTTTTCACTTCAGTGGCTCACGTGTTCAGACATGTGTGGCTATAAACTAAAAAAGTTAAGCATGTTATTATGTAGGTATGTGGTACACTTACCTGTGTTTGCAATCCAGCATTAAACAAAATCTGATCAAGGATCTTCTCCCTCTGCTGCAGGACTTCCAGCTTTTCTTTAATGAAATACCTTGGGACAGGTACTTCTATGTCTTCCTAGAGGAAGAAATAGTCATGAGATGCTTTTTAGAACTGCATTAAAATCACATTACTTATTAATTGAACACCTTTACAAAGCAATTAAATTGGACTGAGATTGTTGAATATTTTGGAGTGTTGGGGAATTTGACCTCTGTAACAGCTGCTGAGCTGTTACTTTGCAATTACTTAAGGCCTAATTCAACAAAAACAAATAAATCATCCCAGTTTCTGAACCCTGGCAGCCCAGAAATCTTTCTTTTTATAACGGCTCAATTATATTATCAAATTGTTAAAATATTTGGCAGCGTTGCCGAAATTTAAACATGATTTCCACTGAATTGAATACCTCTGGTTGTATGATCATCCCACTGCTTTTTTTTTTTTTTTTAATCAACATGAAAAATAGATCTGTTCTCTTGCATTTTTTTTTTAACAATTACAAGCTACCAAAGCACAGTTCTGTTCATCTACAGGTATTTCTACCTATAGACAAACTGTCGCTGTCTGTGACTGATGTCTCAGTCACTTCTCAAAATCAGGGGTGATTACAAGTGGCTGTCTTTACTTGTTTCTATGTTTCTACCATTAAAAAGATGTAACCGATTCGCATGTCTACTGATTCTTCTCCTGTAGAATTTCACTCTTGTTGAGAAATGAAAAGAAGACAGCCAGGCAGACAAAAACACCACACCAAAAGTTAAGGTGCTGCGGAGTGGCATAATCTGTTCTTTGTATCGTGTTGAAGCCTGGAGACAATTCTTCAAGGATAATTACTAGCAAGTATATTTCTTTGGGGGAGTAGGGAATGTGTCTTCTAGATGTTTCAGGAACATCTAGAATATTTCCTCAAGCAAATGATTCACCCAGAGGGTTAGGGGGAGACACGCAGTACAGTCACCCTGTCGTGCTGCTCATGAAGAGTTGCACAGTCAAGTCACACAATAATTTGTCTCCAGGAATATGTGGGCACTTGGTCCTTTTGCCCAGTGAGCCTAAGACAGGTACAAGACTTGATGCTGCACTATCAGTGCTCTCTGTTCTGTCTAATATGGAAACTTGGTGGGCTTTGACATGCTCAGGGACACCTTTGACTTGATCCTTTGCAGCCTCAGTTTCTCCTCTATCTGTCCACACCAGAGGTGACAAGTGCTGGCTGTAAAGAACAAGCACCGCTCCTGCCTTGACACAGGCGCATGGTAAATGTGCTGCTTGTGAGCTCTAAGGCCTTCCAATTCCTAGAGCAAGAATTTGCAGGGAAGGCTGTGGCCAATGAAAACAGCCCCTGTGAACTGCAAACTTAAAAGATTTTATTACTAATTCCCTCAGTTGCATACCGCGCAGACCGGGACATCCCTATTATGGCAGCATAAGGAAGCTTCCAAGTAGAACTGTGTTTATCCCTATTGATTTTATCAATGCAGAGGTCTTGTCTGCTAAAGTTTATAAATGTTTGTCTTGCTAAGCTCCCTGTTTGCATCTTCTAACATCCTTGACTGGTGATGGAAATGATTATACATTATGCTTCAAGAGTGCAAATCACTCTAGGATGGATCGCAAATCTGGCTGTCTTTAGGTATAAGAAATCAAGTGGTTTGTCTGGACACCCTCACATAGGATGAGAGGGCTTTTACGCTGTCAGGTAGCAGTGCGGGTCAGTCAGTGTAGGAGTGATGAGAATCTCTGATGCCTAACCTGGGCTTTAATTGCAAGAGATTCTGGACCGTGACTTTTACTGACTGTAAAAATGAGATCAAAGCCGTAATACTGAGGCTGGAAGGGGTGGGGAGTAGGGAGACTACTTCTCTTCATAATCTCTTTTTGGGCCCAGCATTGAAAAGTTAAGTTTGTGATGTTTATCCTCAAGTCACAGTTGCAGCCTTTTAGCCACTCCCAGCTCCGCATGGGATTTGTGTATCCAAATACCTTTACAATTACCCCAGGAAATGGAGTGACTGAGTGTTGGAAGGCAACCGTACAAAAACATGAGGCACAGAACTAAAGAAAGATGAAACTTGGCCTTACAGTGACATAGTAAAAAGTATGCAATATCATTGCATAAGATATAAAACAAGACTACTCTGTTGTGTTCTCTGACTACAACCATGCTGGATTTTAGCCCATGATAGTATAGTGAAAGGAAAGACGAGAGATACCCTTTCTGGGCAGATTCTTTAAGAAACAGCAGTTATTTGTCAAGTACTGGCCAGCAATTTTGTGTTGGAAGACACAAAAAAAAGAATATGTGATTAGTTTATAAAAAAACCCATAAGTCTGTATTCCTATCTACTATGGCAAATAATGTTTTCTCTGAAAAAGCCTGAAATCTCTTCAGTGCTTTTTTTTTTTTTTTTAGTTAGGTAGGTATGTCATGCCTTCTTAAAATTAAGGTGTGGTGCAGGAATTTGAATTTATGCTTGTTTTTTAATAGATGTTAAGCATGACTTTTCAGACTTGCCAACTTTTTTCTGCAGGTGGATTTACAAGTCATGAAAACAGTAGTGCTTAATGATTTCAAAATATGATTTGAAGGATCAGTTTCCCCAGAACTGTGTTTATGCTCTCCAGTGTGCCTTCTCATAGTTTAAAATAGTTCTCTGCTATGACTAACGTAGAAGGTAAAGAGCTGGTGAAAATTCATGGCAATTACCATCCTAAATTTGTGGAGTGAAATACACGTGCAATTGCAAACAGAAACATGTTTGCAAATCAAAATAATGCTATACTGATATTAGGCAATTTATCTCACGTTATAACTAGGATCCTGAAAAAAGCAATAACTTAAGCTCCAACTCTTTCTTGCCAAAAGCTGTTAGCAGCGGTACCTGAATTTGACAATAGGTGGAGCTGCCTGCGAGAGAAGTAACGAGCTTTTTGCAGCTAATTTTTCATACTGCTTTTAGAGCACAGCTTTAAGGTTTTGCCTTATTGTTGTATTCATCTGGTTTAGTGGGCTGTCTGTCAGGGGGCTGCTTTTACATTAGGCAATCCTGAACCCTGGACGTTGAATACGCTCCCAGCTCCTGCCTCCTTTACAATAAGAGACTTGTCTCAGATTTGTCATTTTAGTAGTTCGTTGTACTACGAACTAGTAGACCAGACCATACAACTTTTAGCATTACCTGTAATCTCTGGAAGAGGCCTGAGGCCAGGCTGATTCACAGTGATGCAAAGGGCAGACTGAAGTGGACTGTACCTTGGTTATCAGTTGACCATCTTCTATCTAATCCCACATTAAAATCAGAGTCAAGCTGCTGCCACAAACAGTGAAGCTGTCTAAGTTAATATGACTTCATGTTAGGACATGTGCAGGTGGAAGATCCACAGAGCCTGTGCTGCTATGGAGAAGTAAAAATGCAACATACTGATCAAGCAGATCAGCTTTTAAATCTTGCTCCAATATATAATGCTCATCATAAATCAAATATACTCTGATCTTTAATAAAAATGCCATAATTACCGATCACCCAGTACACTAGTGAACATGCAGGAAGCTAAATCACTTAGTGGAACTTCACAGACTGCAAGTAAACGTCACTGTTGTTAAAATACAGGATAGGCAAAGTTCCTATGAATTTGCTCATAATAGGGGTAGACCTACCGGGAGAAGCTTTACATCTTCCAGGATATTATCAATGTAATGAAACTCCGAGTTCTCCAACTCCACCATCTCTTTTTTTATCTCCAGGATTCGGCCAATAACACCATCTAGCACTTGCCGAATCACTGTCCGTTTCTGCCAGTGAACGAGTTGGTCATGGGCCGTCTCCAAGTTACGGAAGATTTGCATGTATTTGATGTAGGAAGCGGCTAACATCTTGAATACTTTCACGCGGTCCTTCTCTGGCTGGAGGAACTCTTCTCTTTCTCTCCGGAGCTGGATGTCGAGGTCTTTCTGGGCATCTGTCCACATCTTATTGTAAGTGCTAATTGAAAAGAGGAGACTATGTTAACCTGACATGAAAGCAAGAGTTAGCACACAACGATGCCAGGGCTCTATGTGTGTGGATTTCTCAAAAAACCAAGCCTGGAAATGTGAGCCATTATATTTAAAAAGAGATTTTTAACTACAATGTATTTTAACCATTAGCAAAAGTTTCTCTTTTTGATTGTTTTAAAAATATTAATCTTAAAATGTTTTTTTATTAAGGAAAGCTTAAAAGTTAAGCTTAAGGTGACATTTTCAACTTCATCCTTAACATGCTTGAAGCATCCTTCAAATCTTTGAAGCTACAACCCCCAATAGTGCCATGAGTTTCATTCAATTGTGCTAATTGAGAAGAGGGTTTAATAGAAAAGGTGTCTCCCCCCAAAGCCCTTATGATGGGTGAAGGTCTGGTTTAGGTGTCTCCATGTTTGGGATGAGGACCAATTGACGTTTCTAAAGTGTGTGTTGCTTTTTTGCCTTTCTGAAGTGGTTGTTTGGAACTAATTGTAGGGTAAGGGCTGTATTGGTGCCAATGCTAGAGCGTAGCTGTGGGCGCTATTTCAAATGTGAAGTGAGGAAAATAATTTATTTCTACGGTAGCAACTATTGCACTCCAAGCAATTGCTAAACGTGAGGTCCAGTGGCTAGAGGACTGTGTGATATGGAAGGTGTCACCTAAGGCCAGCTTAATTTCCAGAAGTGATAATGCTGTTTACTTGGCAGTTTTGGTAGGAGTAGGTGGAGCTCTGATGTGAGCACGGACTGGCTGTCAGTGGCTTTTCATGGTAAGCGCAGATTGGCACAGAATATTGTGGGAAATCATCCTAAAGGAGCAAGAAATGGACTCTGGGCAATGAGGCTTTTATTCAGAGAAGAGCTCAAACAGCAGGTTTGTCATTGAAAGGTGCTAACATCTGTGGTAGTGAAAGACCCTTTTAGGTCCTGTTCTACTTTGTAACCCCTCTTTGACAGGTGGAGACTGTCTCTTGGGAGTGAGAGGCTTCAAAAAAACTTACATCTTTCAAAATGCTTCTCTACCAGCAGAGCTAAGAAATTTCTTTTGCACCGAGACTCAGTTATGCTGGGAGAAAAAACAGTTTCTTGATTCACGTTGCCAGGTTTGCAGGAGGAGGGAAAAACAGTGGGCTAAGGTAACAGGGAAAGCTGACTTTTGTTTCTTAGACCTAGAAATAAAGGCCACTGGCCTCAATGGTGCAATCTAGACCCATCCATGTGCTTAACCTAGCTATTGCTTGCTGTTCCTAGAGCCTCTCAAAGAAGGATGAAGACAGTAAAAGGCCCCGCCTCCATTAGATGAGCTTTCTAGAGCAGACCTCTTGCTAGTCTGAGCAGCACTGGGGGAGTGCTTGCATATTAATTCTGATGAGAAAGTTGGGCAACTGTTAACATTGCTCATGCTTGATAATAAATGCCTAAGTTGGAGCTCTGTCAGCTGATCTTATCATTCCCAATCTCGGAGTACAGAATGACCTGAGGCTTGTGCCGCAAGAGGGACCAGTGGGGTGGACAGGACAAACTCCAGTCCACAAGTACCCTGAGCGTGGGGGGTGTGCTGCATGTCCAGGATGCTGCTGGGACTCCCTGCAGCAGTCAGCAAAAAACACCAACAATCTGAACCCTGCTATTGAATTTGCACCATTAACTTTTTAAAGTGCATATTATACTTTTCAGCTGACCTGGGTTTCTGCAGGATGCAGCTGGTCTTGCTTTTCCTAATGCCTCTGCAGCCCACCCAGGTCTTTCCCCTTCCTTTTTTCCAACTTCATTTACATCCCATCGCACCATCCGAATCACTCAATTGCAGCAATTAACCCAGGTGCAGGAGATAAACAAAATAAAACCAGCAGAGTGGAGAAGATTGGCACAAACAAGAGCAGCATTAGTTTTGACCTAACAGCTCTGCCTGTTGATCAATGGGAGTTTTGTACGCTTCCTCTGAAGTCAGGACACGGAAGAACGTATACTGGTGTGAGGTTCACGGGGTTTTCCAGCACAGAAGGAAACAACGCGGTATTGTACTTACTTAGCTGTGCCTACTCACAGACCATTTGACAGTGGGGAGGTTATAAATCTTTGAGAAAGCCTGGCCCTGTAGGTTGTCCCCACAACCATACCGCTGATTTATGAACAGTGGGTATCCTCGGGCTAGAGCGTTTCGAATGCAGGTTATTGCATGGAGACAACAGATTGTACTGCAATGAGAACCGACTCCATGATTGTCCACTCCAGTTTACAATAATCTCCCTTTCTGCCTCCTCTGACTGAGGAATGTCAAGTGGTTCCTCCTGCTGAGCCCGCTAATATCCAGTTTCTTTTTATATTTTGAATGACTTTTTGAGGGAGGAGGGGGATGGAGTGCTCTAGCCCTTTGTCTTATGTTAACGTACTCTAATATAGATGGAACATAATTGCTTCCATAAAGCATTAGTTTATCAGATAAGCATTAAGATGATTGCAAGCATGTTGCTGTGGGTCAGATGTTAAGACTATGGATATTATGGTATGTTTGTAGCTTTTGCAGCAGTGATGTTCTGTGTAAATGAGGGCAAAAGAAGGGACAGGCCCACTGGAAAATGAAGTCTTGAAGGAAAAGATTGATGTGGAACTGCTAAATTTTCAGCTGTGATAAGCTGATAGCTCCTGTGTACCTGTTGCGGTCAGGGTGACTGACACCCTGGGGGGACCTGGCCCTAGCGCTTCAGTTTGTTAGGCACGTGATGGGGAACAGCAGGTACTTGGTAATTGGACAGAGCAAGCAGAAATGTGATTTGAGTGTTTCTTTGGTTCACCCTGATTAAAAACTAGAGGACACATGCACAGCCATTAGTTTCCCCTCCCCAAAACAGGATTAAAATAATTATTTCAGGTTTTACTAGTGTCCAAATGGGAGCCATTCTGGACTAGTTTGAGGGATCAGATGTGCTTGGTGTTTACAGCCCTTTCTGGAGGACTTGGCAGAGCTGCTGTACTCCTGAGGAGCTCTCCAGCTTTGGTGACAAACGTGTTCAAGGGTAGTCAGAAGGAGTGATGCATGTCCTCAAGGTTATGTGTTAAAAGCAAAGGACAGGACTGACTCTCCTTGCCTGTTAATCAGAAAGCACGTGACTCCTAAACCCCTATTTGAATTTTTGCCTATTTGCTCAGTCTCTCTCCGCATTAAGTTGCAAACTCCCTCAAAATTGCTTCCATGCACTGAAGGGGGAGTACAACGCAGCCTTGAGTGCGCTGGCTTTTTATTTACTGTTACTGGTTCATCTTGTAGGCTTGTTCCCGTTCTGTAACGGGTAGGTTGTGAGCTGAATCCATGCCTGAGGATGATATTGCATCAGAATTAGATCGGATTAGAGCATCTAACTAGCCTACTCGTGCAAGCAACCAGCAGGACTGAGCATAATTTTCCTACTTGAGGCATAAGATTATTAAATCCTGGAAAAGAAAGAAGTCTGTCTCTTGATCTCTGCATGTGTATAACAGTGTAAGTAATGCTGCAAATTGTTGTAGCAACTACAAAATAGGAGTGTTATGGGGATAATAAGCAACACTGTAATGGGGTGACGAAAAAACACATAAAGTGACTTAACTCCAGAGCCCCCAGAGTGCTTTCTGGCAGCTTACAGCTTGGAGGGAAGGTCAAGGCTTTACCTCCTAATTGATGTCCCTTCTCTTCACTCCCACAAAATAGAAACAGAGTCTAAAACAAGGGCTTAAGAAGGCTCTTTTGCTATAGCATGATTTCTAGTTTGAATCTCACTTTTCTTGCTCAAAATAGAGCCTGATCTGCTTATTTAGAGTGAAGCTTAAAAATATGTTTTTCTGCTCAAGTTATAAAGAGATGTTTAAAATCCTGCCAAATTATGCATCACCTCATTTTACTATTCCAGGGCCCTCTAACTCTGCACATTTGCTTGACCCATCTCTTCTTATCCTTAAAAAAAAAATAAATCTGTCAGTTTTGAGTGCAGCTGAGGTTAGCTTGCTTACTTGTGTTGAATTGGCTTTGAGACTTAAGTATGCCCTCTTGGTAGGATTTGTGCTGAGCATGCAAACTGTCCCTCAGACCATTCGAGCCAGCAGTGGAATCTGGCATCAGTGGGGTTACCTTTGTGTGTGTGGTTTTTCTTTTTTCCCCCAAAAGTGTCTTGGTGTTTTTACTTAGCTGCCAAAGGGAACAGTATTTCTGTTATTCCAGGACGTGGCACAGTTTGCACTCCAAGCTGTGTCTGTCTCTGGATTTGCATATGGGCTGAACCTAGGCTTCGTTGATGCCCATTTTTTCTGGGCTGTCTGTCCTCTGAGGACAGAAATACCTCACACTTTCACACGCCAACTATGTAAATGCAGAGTGTAGTACTGCATGGGCCCTACTGGTTTTTCTGATGGATGGGCACACGTAAAGAGATGGAAGGGAACATATTTGACTCTGACTTGGTCCAGCTCTCTTCACCTAATATGAAAACTCCTGTTTGATTAAATGAGCGCTAAATTGTGTGTGTGTGTGTTAAAACATTTCTGAAGCACATATGCTGCCACTGCAAACTACCTGCATTTCTTCTTTCTCAGAAGATGAGACTGCGCTGTGTTGGGGCACCTAACAGGGAACGGAGAAAGCACTGGCAGGGCTTGAGAGAGCGAGGGTGTGTGGAGCTGCAGCAGGGATCTGTGTGATGGAGCAGGGCTCCTTCAGGCACAAGGAGCCTGGCACGTATTCATCACTGCGCAGATGAAGCCAACAGTCACCGAGCAGACGAGAGGAGACTGAGACATGGTCTAGCGACAAGGAAGTGTGTGCAGGGGCCAGTCCTCAAGGTGTCCTCTAGATACTTGGGGCTTGACAGGTCAGCCATTGTGCTAAGCCCTGGGCAAACATGGGGGAGGGAAACCCTGCCCTGCAGCCTCTGTAAAATAAAGAAACAAGAGACAAAGGTTGGGAGGGGAAAGTGAGGCCCCGGGAAGAAAAGGGGCTT